GGTGGGAAGACGTGGCATACCTTCAGGGAAGACTACCATTGATCCCCTTCTCAAACATGACGGGCTCTCAACCAAACTTTGACTTCTGGCCCATTAAGACGGGCACTCGTATCGAGCGATTGGCTCTAATTATGAGTTTTCATCTGCAGTTCTGGCAACTGATCCGAAAGTAAGACAATAATTGTTGTCTTAATAGATGTGAATTGAATTCATTGTAACCTTTAATTTGCAAAAATAGGGAACAACTAAAGCCAGTCATCAACAAATCGATGCAACCGTTAGCCATGAATCAGTTCCACCGTATTTTCAATACGTGCCGAATCCCGGGCCAAGTCAGGGACAGTCTGTTAACTTGCTTTAAAACGGGTTAGTTTTGTGCACAGATTTTGATTGTTTGTAAATTAAGACTAAACTAATTTTCATTAAATTACTTGATGTACAGAATCCGAGGGCTCGAAGGCACCGACAAACCTAATAGTGCTGTACAGGGGATACCTGTTTAGCTTTGATTTAGTCGAAAATGACGAAATCCTGACCGCACATGAAATTGAGGGCCAATTGAAGTTCATTGAGGACTGGTGTCAGCAGCAGTCCACCGCCGGACCCGGTGTCGGCGCCCTTACCACCACCGACCGAACCAAATGGGCGCAGAATCGCGAGTATTTGATTCAATTGAGTGCCGACAATAAGACAATTTTGGACACAATTGAAAGTTCACTGTTGGCCGTGGCTTTGGATGATAACGAGCCCATCACTCAGGAAGAGGTGATAAATGAATAATATATTTGGAAATTGATTTGAAATATTAAACAAATTGTTTTGTCGTGAATAACAGATACTACGAGAGGCACTGTTAGGCGACTGTTGCGAAAACCGATGGGCTGACAAGTCCTACACATCCATTGCTTATATGAACGGAAACTTTGCCGGAAATTTGGATGTATTTATAAATTTAATTTTAATTAATGTTCACATTTTTAGTTATACACTCATTTTGTCTGATAGCACACACCGTTTGATGGGATGGCAATCGCCACGGAAGCCCAGTATATCCTAATGTCAATCAATGAATGCAAAGGTGTTTACAGCGGATCTAAATCCAAACGCGTCCTCTCGGAGCCAATTCTGCTGGACTTCAAACTCGACGATCAATTGGCGAAAGAAATACAAATCGCAAAGTTTTCGCACAAAAAAATGTGCGAAACCATTGAAATCACGTACAAAGTGTTCACAGAATACGGCCGATCCGTGTCCGCCAAACACCAGATACATCCCGAGGCGTACATACAACTGGCCATTCAGTTGGCCTACTATAGGACCCACGGGAAGGCGGCGCCCACTTATTGTACGGCCACTACGAGAAAGTTTTATCGGGGAAGGACTGAGACGTGTAGGCCCTGTGTGCTCGAGAACGTCGAGTTCGCCAAAGCCATGACCGATGGCTCTAAAAATGTATAGAATTTCATATAATTAGATGGTTTTCAGCGAAAAGTTAACCACTTTTTTGTGTTCATTTGATAGGAGACTGAACTCTACGCTATGCTCCAGAAAGCGGGCAAAAAGTTTCAGCAAACGATGGCAAACGCGTGCAACGGTTACGGCTGCGATCGGCACCTACTGGGCCTCTACTTGACGGCCCTGGAGAACGGCGTGGAGGTGCCCGAGCTCTATAAGGATCCGTCGTACGTGAAAAGTGGCGGAAACGGCAACTTTGTGTTGTCCACCAGTTGTGTGGGCTACTGGAATGTTTGCGGAAGTATGCCTCCCATGGTGAGCGACGGTTACAGCTTTTTCTATGGCATTGAGAACCATCAGTACTCGTTCACCATCTCCTCCTACAACAGTTGCACCGAAACCAGCGCTCAATTACTTCAAAACAATCTGTATTTGTCTCTCTTGGATATGAAGAAAATACTTGACTCTAATCAACAGTAATAGACATATAGTCATCAAAAAGTTATGACAAGTTTTCAATAACTTATTCCTAATTGAGTGGACTATATGTTTGTCTATTATATAACTTATAAGGAAATGTGGTATATTTGGCACAAAAAAAGACGAATTTGTTGTTAAAAATTGAAATTTTTATTCATTTTTCTAACTAAGAAAGGAATTTGATTTTAAAATATAATCGCTACAAATAA